TGATGCTCAAAAATTTTCTGTGAATGAAATCGGCTTTGGAGGGTTGTTATCATTGAAGTTGAAAAGGAATCCTACTAGTATTTATAGGTGGCTAATTGATTGTTTTGACTATGGTAGCCGCATGTTTTCAATGGACAATAGTAAGGAGTTTGTGGTCACTGAATATGATGTGTATGACGTATTTTGCCTTCCTTTGAACCCTAATAATGTTGAGGAGATAACTCGATATGCTAATAAAAGTAATCCTGACTTTGTTTTCAAACATAATTGGAGGTTGAATTTTGGGTTGGCAGATGAAAATGACCAAATTCCACTTAATTTGTTAGAGGATAGGATACCTACTTTAGATCAAGGTGGTGATGAGTTTAAGCAACTCTTTGTTATGCATGCAATATCCTCTTTTTTGGCTCCTACTTCTAACCGAACTGCTGATCTTAGGATTGCTAAGGCACTTGATGATGTTGGACAAATTAAAAATTTGAATTGGTGTAAATATGTTCTTGAAAAACTGTGTGAAGGTGTTACAAGTTACCAAAAAGGAGAAATTCAAAACTGTTGTGGTTGTATTTTGATGTTGGAGATTATTTACTTTCATAGGTTGAAATTTAGGAATGTTGAATTAAGTACTTCTTTACCCTTAATTCAACATTGGAATGATGAGTTGATTAGGGACAGAATTAAGAAGGAAAAGTTGTCGAAAAGTTTTGGTTCAGGGATTTTGCTCTGTGATGTGTATCCTGTTAGTCGTAAGCTGAATTTTCAGGATGCTCCCGTGGGTACTACAACGGGAAGTGTGGGAAATGTTGAAAATGTTAGGGAGGGTAATGATGTACCTGGTACAATACAGTTTAATCTCCCACCAGGTTCGATGTCAGATCAGGAGATCCATTCATTTGTTATTGATGTAAGGAATAGCTGACTTTTATTCCTTTTTTTCTTTTGAATTATTGGATTTGATTTCAATATTTATACATGATTTTTTTAATCTCTTTGCAGCCTGTTCATGAACAATTTTTGTTCATGAAAAGAGATATGAATGTGATATCTTGTTTTTACAATGACAAGATAAAGCAGATTCTTCTTTCACGCCGTAATGAGATCCACAATGCTCCTGGTATTAATGATTCTCAGGATGATCATTTTTTTTGGATCCTCAAGTTCAATCTGTGATTGATGAGATCTCTGAACTTGCTATTTGGGTGACAAAAATGCCCGAGGTGTTGGATCAAGTTTCTGCATTTGAGCACAACAAGACAAATGAAGGGAGGGAGGAAATTAGGGAGGAAAATAGGGGAACTTTACCTGTGATTGGCTTTGAAAATATTATTACAAATGGAGGGTCCAGGTGTTCTATTTCTTTTAATTGGAAATCTGATGAAAGGCTTATTGTTATTTCACACTTTTTGAAGTCAAATAACAAGGAAATGAAGCTATTGGATCCATTAGTCTTAGAGATTGTTGACTATTGCATTATCAATGATTCTTGTTTGCCTCCTAAGTAAGTAAGCTTTTGTTTGATTACATTGTTTTTCTTTTATTTTTTTATTTATTTATGAAACACTTTTTTAATTCTTATTTTATATTCTTTGACACAGTGAACTATTGGTATGCTTTCATGAAAATCATTTGATTCAAAGGCAAGAGTTCTACACATTAGGAGAGCCTTCTGAAATCATGAGCAGTAGTATTTTGGATTGCTGGGCGTTGCTTCTCAATGAAAATCAGAAATTTGTTAAGGATGGACCTCGAAAATTGTACTTTGGTTCTTCAATTAGTGTGAGTTTTTTTTATTATTTCAATGTTTATACATGTGTTTACTTTTCACTTATTTTTTTATTTGTTTAAATGTTATGAAGGTTACAATAGTAGAAGCTGCCTGCAGTGATGACAATTCACAACTAGTGGACAATGTATATCAAGAATTGGAGGAGTGGATGAAAATAGCTTGCAATAATTTTGATTTGTCAGAAGTGGAGCTGGTAATACTTTCTTTTTTTGATGCTATGATAATATAGTTCCTTTTTTTTATGTTGTAGTTACCTTTATTTAAATGAGAGTGCATATTGTAAAATACTCTTAGAAAGTCTACATTATAAATTGTTTTGGTTTCTACTGGTACTTTTTATACAATTGTTTTGGTAGTTGTATTTTTTTTTGGAGACTTGAAGACGAGATTTAGAACTGAATGCTGGTTAGATTGGTTGTGAGTATCACAGGTATAAGGTAGCGAATTTTATTGACTGACATATTCTGTACAATAATTCATTGTGATGTGTATGGTAAGAGGGGAAAGAAGCTCTGTAATTCTAAAAGACCTTATGGATGGAACTGTTTCTAATCTTGCACTGGCTTTCCCTCCTTTGAGTCCTTTCCTATCTGGTTATATCTTATTTGTAAGGTGAGAAAGGAATCCTTTTGTGTGATCCATTTGTGACACAGCTCTGGAGCCTATTATTTATATTGTCATACCAAATTTTCCGTTTTATTGCTTCATCTGTGAGAGCATTGGATATGTTCTTTGGTTCAACTCTGTTAGGGTTTGGGAGTTATGGGTAGTTTGAAGGGGCTATTCATCATTTTGGTTTTTGTCTACTGATATTTGGGACTTTGGGTAGAGTGTGAGTCTAGGGTCCTCAATGAACAACTAGTGGGTGTACTGCTTTTTCATCTTTCACTTGTGAATTTGCATTCCTTTTCTTGGAATTTTCAAATTTCCAGCTTGACAGCTTTGCTTTGTATCTTTTCTCTGTTTCTTCCGATTCTTGCTTGATTGACAGATTTTTAAATAGTGTAGAGGCTACTTAAAGCCAACAGCTATTTCTGGCAAAATTTATTCCCTGGTCTCTGCCTAGGATGAACTATTAATAATTGAGCTTATGTCAGAAAATAAAGTGATAGGTCATTTTGCCTTTAATGTGCTGGGAAGCATTAGCCAAAGCAATAGTGTAGAGGCTACTTTGTTTTTTTTATTGCTAATTATGATATCTTTGTTGCAGATATTTTTACCTTGTCTAAGTGGCAATCACTATTGCTTATTTGTGGTGAATTTGACTCAAGGAAAAATTCAGTTTATTGATAATCTGAATTATGATGAGAATGGTCGTAACTTCTTGAAAAAGTTATCTAGTCTCTTGGTATTACTTTCTCACTCTTCCATATTTTCACTATTTTCTTGTCTAAAGGTTTTTACAGTGAGTTTTAGTAATTAGGATTAGAACAAATGTGACTGTGATCTGATTATATGATTTTTTGGTAGTGTGATATGATTAGTACCTTCTTTGATCAAAGACTTACTCAATCTGGAGCTATGGTTGACTATGCTTTGGAGTTTCCTACTTTGAATTGGAGATCTGGCAAAGATAATTCAGATTCTAGTGTTTATACTATAATGAGTATGCTTTTATTCAATGGAGCTGATGAGTTTAAATGTGAAATTTTAAAAACAGTTATGATTCTATTCTTTTTAACTTATTTCTTTTATTTCTTTTAATTAATATCACAATATCTTATATTGATTATATACTTTTTTAGGCTTCAAATAGGAAGATTCTCCGGGTTCAAATTGCTGCATCTTTACTGTTTTATCTGATATGAATGAAGCTAGATCAAATGTAATTGGTAAGGTGGCTGAATTCAAACCTGATAGGCAACGCCTTTCAAAAAAGGTTGAAGAAAGAAGGAAGAAAGAGATTGAGCAGAGGAAGAATAAGAAGAAGCAGACTGTAGACAAGAAGAAGAAAGGAAAGGCTTAAGATATCATAATATTCTGAAACTAAGTAAGGAAAGGCTTAACATTGTGAAACTGATTTTTAAACATAGTTGTTATCATAATTTTCTGAAACTAAGCAAAGTACTTTGAAGAATGTATAGCTAATTAGTATTCATTCAACTTTTGTGTAGGTTATTGAATGAAGAATGGAAAAATATTCATTTTGTGTAAACAAGCTTTTGCCAATATATTATGAAAATGCTATATTGTTTGTTTAATTCAATTATTAAAGATCTCTGTTATCTTATGTCACTATATGTTAAAATAAAGTCACTATATTATTTATAAGGTCCTTGTTTGGTTCAAAAAGGTCACATTTACCATAGGTCACTATATGTTAAAATAAAGTCACTATATTATTTATAAGGTCTTTAGTTGGTTTAAAATGTCACTTCATTACCATAGGTCACTATATGTTAAAATAAAGTCACTATATTATTTACAAGGTCTTTGTTTGGTAAAAAAAGGCTACTTCCTTTTCAATATTTTATAGTGTCAAAAGTATAAGGACTATGTTTTAAATTAATGGTAATTATCATAGGTCACTATATGTTAAAATAAAGTCACTATTTTATTCATAAGGTTACTATTCTAAATATAAAGGTAACTAAGTCAAAATTATGGACTATGTTAACTAATGGTAATAAACTAACAATATAAGGGTATTATATAAAGATTACTATATTAAAATAAAGATCACTATATTGTAAAAAAAGATTACTATTCCAAGAAGTATATATCTCAAAATTAAAGGTTACTATGTTAATCATAAAAGATACTATATCATAATAATCAGTATTTAAGATTTAAGCATTTCAATTTCTTGATTTGTTATCTGTTGATCACAGGAAACATTGAAACAGCTTTAACAACTAAAAGAAGCCTTCTGTGTAGGACAACAAACTACCAATTAACAACAAGTTTAGAGAAAAAAGGTTTGTGTATAAGGTATTACAGTACTCATGTGCTTTATTCCTTGTTTCTTTGAAAAGCAATAAGTACAATTAAGATCAAATCAAAAGACATAATACTACAACAAAGGACACTATGTCAATCATAAAAGACACTATATCATAAAAAAAGACACTATATCTTAAAAAAAAAAAAAAGAAACTATATAAGTATTTAAAAGATATAAAGTTTCCAAGAATGAAATTACAAATAAAAGGTAACCATGTAACAATTCAAGTTACTATGATAAAAAATAATAATATTTGGTGTCTTAAAACTATCAGAGCATATACTTATTATTAATATTTGGTGTTTTGGCACCAAATTCTCTATGTTTCCTCCTCTTCCCCTTTTTCATGTAGTCATAGCTTCCTGGAATCCTTTTATTTGATTGGCCTCCTTTAGTTTTTGCACGAGCTGGGTCTAGTACTTGAACCACATTAGACGAAGTTGCTTCTGAATTCTCTTCTACACCTGTAGTGTTCTCAGAATGGTAGTCAGTTGACTTCATAGCAGAAATAATCTCATCAATTGCACTTGAATCTTTTGCATAGCTTTCTTCTAACACTTTCCTTGCTTTTTCAAACTTGTGGCTCTTAAGATTAAACTATAATACTTCCTCACCATGTGTAGCCGCCAGGGTGTGAAGTTGTTTAATGTCCCCTTCTTCCTTTGCTCTGCCTCAATACTCTCCCAAACTTTATCCTTAGCCACTTTAGTCCACCTGATAGATATGTATTGCTCTGGGATTTTTTCAACAGAATACATGTGTAAGATTCTAAGGCTATGGAAGCATAACCAACCTGACTCTTCAAAATTCTTGCATGGACATTGAATTGTTTGGTTAACAGGATCATAATTTACTGCTTGAGTTGTGCCATCTCTGCCTTCAAGGTACACTTGGTAAACCATTTTGTCTCCATTAATGAATAGCAGTTTAGTTTGAGATCCAATGGCTAGGTTGAATTCTTCTTCAAAGTCCCTGAATAATGTATGTGTATAAACCTCAGCAGCATGTTTTAGTAAGGCAGACATTGGATAGCTTGAAGTAGGAATTGATTTTATGCTATTGAACTCATAAAAATCCTCATTCCTTCTCCAAGTCTTCACTGTCTTCTGAAATATGTTGTAGAATTCTGTCAAACTTGTTTTCTTGTTTGCTTTGAATCCCACTGCATGATTTGTGCTCTCACTTCTCTGTGATGACAAGATTCCCGCGGAGAAAAAGTCCTTACTTAGAGCTGTTGACCACTTGTGCTTCAGTGAGTATAACCTTTTGAACCAACTATTGTTTTTCAGTTTGTACTTTGTCATCATTGAATCCCAACATACTTCAAACTGAGCTTCATTAATACAACCACTCAAGCATTTCATGAAAGCAGCTTTGAATGTATCATCACTCTTCAAAACTCCAAATCTTGTTACAGCATTTTGAATCAAGTGCCATAGACATAATCTATGTCTAGTATTTGGAAATACCTGCACATTTTTATACAGTTACTATAGTTTCAAAATTGGTTATTGCATTTAAAATATAGGTAACTATATAATTTTAGTACAAACATATTTAGATGTAGTGGTATTCAAAAAGTTCCTTCAAAATTTGAAATTACCTTTGGTTGTTGCTGCCATGGCTGCAATTGCCTTTTTGAAGGTCTCAAATAACCACACAAATGAATCTGTGGTCTCATCACCAATAAAAGAACAAGCAAACATAGTGTTCTTCCAGTGATTGTTTATTCCTACAAAGGGTGCACAGATGAGGTTGTAACGATTAGTCCTATATGTGGTGTCAAATACAGTGACATCCCCATATATTTTATAATCTTCAAGCATCATGGAATCCCTCCAAAACAAGTTCCAAACCCTTCCATCTGAATCCACCTTACTCTGAAAAAGAAGTTAGGGTCCTCAGAATAAGCTTCCTGTAGTTTGTCACAAACTACTTGAGAATCTCCTCCTTCAATGGCCTTTATTTTCAGTTTATAACAATAATTCATGTGGTCTTTCACTGTATGACCAATAGCATCTTCTCCACCAGCTTCATTTGACATGTAATTAAAGGATTCCATAGGTCTTAGTCTAGATTCTTGCATGGCCTCAATTACTTGCCCTTTAATTCTAGTCATTGCACGCTCTGAACGGTGGAAATGGTTCCATTGTGGTCTAGTGAGTGGATGATTGTGCACCAACACATGCTGAACTATCTCAAATTGCCCTTCCTCATTCAATTTTGCTATTATCAAAGCATTACAGTTTGTCCTTGTTATTGGAACCCTCCTACTTTGTCTTGTTTTTTTTTAACTGAAGAACTTTCCTCTGTCAAGAGTTCTTCTGCAATTTTTTCCTTTTTTTTACTAGAATTTCTTAATCCTGCTGCAGAACATACAAAGAACTTTTTGGTGATGATATCTTTAGTTCCAATTTTGCTTGTTTGTTTTGCTTTTCTAACACTAAAACCAACTGCAGCAGCATGTTGACAATACAATTCATGTATTTTCGCAAGTGTTGCTCGAGTTTCTCCTACTAACCAACCACTAATCTCATCGTTATTACTTGCACCTGTTTTTATAAAAAATAGATCACTATACTATCACTAAAGGCAACTATGTTACTTAAAAGTGGCTTTGCATGTCAGAAAAGCTTTAACAAGCATCATATAAGTACAATGTATTTATTTTTAAAAATAGATTACTATACTATTACTAAAGGCAACTATATTACTTAAAAGTTGCTTAATTATGCATAATCGCTTAATTTTCAATCAACATCAATTACACTTAATCGCTTAACTTTCACAATTACGCATAACTGCTTAATTCACAATTACGCATAATTCAATAAACATAAATTACGCATAATTACTTAATTTTCAATCAACATAAATATGCATAATCGCTTAATTCACAATTGCATAATATAATCGCCTAATTCAAATTATCAAATTAAAACCTAAATGTCTAATTTAATCTTCAAATCAAACAATTGATTGCATAATCGTTTAATTCACATTATCGAATTCTAATATGAATTGCATATAAATATATCGTATAATACCTTGAGGTTTCATTAGAGATTGATTTTCGTCATGAACTTCATTATCATCCTCAGCTTCAATAATAGCTTGTTCTTCATCTTCAACAGCTTCATTCAGATCGAAATTGATGACATTAATATCGAAGTTTTCTATAGTGTCCTGTATACTTCGATTTAGATCCATTTCAATTGATTGTATAGAAGAATTCTCCATGAAATTTGAAGAAATTGATTGATTAAGTAGAAAATAAAACCTAGAATTGCGTACAATTAGAAGGAGAGAGATGAAAATTCGAGCTCTATTTTAGTTGTTAATGGCGTCGAACTGGAAGGAAATTAGTAGGTTGTGGCAGAAGAAATGGCTTGTGAAATAAGTTAGTGGACTGGGCTGTGAAATAAGTTAGTAGGAGATGGGCTGTTCAGTGGGTTGTGGCACGTGAGACCCTAAGGTCCACAATAAATTTATTGTGGACCAGGTCCACCCAAGAATTTTTGCATTAGTGAATGTTGATGTTGGTAAAAGTAAAAAAAAAACACCATAACTGAAAAACTTGAATGTTGTTGAAAGTTGATAAAGTTAGTTTGAAAGGTGGTTGGTGGTTAAATGTCGACAATTAGACTAGGAAAATATTCCTTAATATACGCAAACTCTCTTATCCTAAACACTAGATCTTCAAACATATTACGTATCAATTGGGTACAAGATGTTGATTCTTCACAAATTAAAGTCAATCAAAATTAATTAATTTGATGAATTTTAACTTTGAATAGTCATGACTTCTTATTTATATAATTTATATCCAAGTTGAAATATACAAGTACAAGTTATAAGATTAAGGACTACCTTGACGTACAACTAATGGCTCTCATTAATCGTAGAAATGTCATAAAAACCTTCCTAATTATATCATTTGTAGGCTAATACTAACCCTTTCAAAGCAAATAATCAAATTAGTCAGAGCAGTGCACCTAATAATATTCTAGAATCATGAGTTTGGTAGGATGAAATAAATGTAATGTGAGGGTCCATATATATTTGGCTAGGCTAATTTATGTACGTGCACAACGTGCTCTATCTTTTTCAGCATTTAGTAGTGTTCAACTGCTCATTTAGAAAGCTAATTTTCCTACTTCATTCCGAGTAATATTAACCTTACAACTCTTGCTGGAGTTGCATCTCCATAAGCCAATTTGGTAGCTAAGTACTCAGTTAATTTTAGGGAAAAAAAAAAAGATCATGATAAGCTCACGCGCATTTTAATAAGTTTATGATTCGAGGTTAAGTTATCAACGAAACTTATTCTTAATACCCCTTGGTTTAAAATAAATACCCCAATTATGTATGTTTTATTATAGATGCCTAGCTAGTCATATTAAGGTTCTATTTGACTGGTTCATCTGAATAATTCTATTTTACATGAATTTATTTTATTTTTACTAGACTATTTATCTTTATTTGTATTTTTTAATTTTTGAAGTTATTTTTTCAAATATTTAATTTATTTAAACTTATGTTATATGAACATATTTTATAAGAAATTATATTTACATAACTTTTTTATTGAAATAATCTAAACTTATCAATAGAAGAAAGTGAGGGTACTAAGGACATGTTCTCTTCAGCTTAATTTCAGTTCAATTCAGTTCAGTTCCTAATTAATTTTCTTTTCTCATTATTTCAGCTCTATTCAGTCAGTTCAATTCAGTTCAACTCCAATCATCAATTCAATTAAGTTTAGTTCCGTTGTTTTCAATAAATCAAACAAGCCCTAAGACCTTGAATTTCTTTAATTTTAATTTACATGTTAATTTTCTGATCAGCTAGATAATTATACGAATTATTAAGTTTTTATTAGGTGGCTTGGATTCAAATGAATATATAGCATGCATATTGACATGCTAAGAATTCACAATCTTATAGTGCACATAGTTGCGATTGTATATCTCTACTTTACACTCATCCATCACTCACTACGTACAAATGGCTTATGATGATCTATAATAGGATGCTAGAATCCCAACGTTTATTAGAGGCTCAACTCTTGACTAATGTAATTGACCTTTGGATAATTTGAAGACACAAACTAAAAGTTTTAATATACATTTTTATTCTTAACTTCTTGTTATAATCAATCTAGACAATCAAAAATGCAGTCATAGTCACCTAGTCTTACATTGTATAATGATTCCTTCAATTCATGCAAAGTTTATCCAAGAAATTAAAATTAGTGTATAATTATTAATTAATTACGTAGTGCTCTCATGCTTTGTCATGTAAGTTAGCCAAAAGTTTAGCAAAGAGACTTTTTTAAGTAACTTTATCTTCTTAAATTAAAGAAAAGTATTAGAATTACTAAGTATTACATCATATGTTAATTTTGCACCCACAAAAGAAACGAAAAGAATTAGACAGCAACCAAACAACTTGGGACTTTTCTAATTACTTAACGTATATATTCATCTTAGCCAAATTGTTGACGATGGTGCACTTTTCCACCTAACATAATTAACATTAAATTAAGCTTACTAATTGTAATTATCTATTGTTAATGATGCACTTTTCCACCATCACATTACACTAGGCTACTATAATATGTAGAGTGATGAGCAATGTTTAGGTATCTTATCCAAAACTATACTTCTTATTGGAGATTTGATATTCCAAATTCACTATTCCAATATTAGATTCCATTAATCTTATGTTAGTGGATCTTCATATACTCTTAGATATATATTTGTTAATTTTGGAATTGACTGCATTATGCAAAGAGTACTCAAACTTTATACATTTTGTTTAAAACAGGATGATTCATTATTTTTATTTTTTATTTTTAATGAGCTTATTTTAATTCAATTATTCAAACGTGAAATTATTTGAGCTTATTAGACCTTATTAAAGTTTTTTTTTCGTCTTATTACAGAACTTAGATAATTATTATTAGCTTATAAGCTTTTAGCTTGGTATTATTATTAGCTTATAAAACTTATTTTCTTAAAATAAGTGAAAATAATAAGGTGAATTGATAATAATTTCAGTGATCGTTAACCAAACAAGATGTACTCAAAGTTGTTGTCAAATCTATAATACTCTATGATTCATATTACTACGCCACATGGCATTTGCCACTTGACTACATATATTACACAATTAATGGTTACTTGCTAACCTACAAGTTTATTTTAATTAAAGTAGCATCTTAGCATATATACAAATATAATATTTCATGTGATATATATACTATGATATGCAATATATGAATTGAACTAATAATGCTACAAATTCTGCAATTCCAGCAACATCATGATATTGGTGTTCCTTGTAAAAGATCATAGGGTCCCATGCCAACTAAATATAAATATATTCGGCAAAAAAGTGGGCAAAATATACTCCAAATTCTTTTGGCTAATAAGAAAAGGGGCCAATTTTGGTTAAGAATGTTTTCTTGTTCCTTCATAACTTGGCCTTACCACTAAAGCTAGGGTTGTATATTATTGTATTATCAATGGATTTGCAAAATGGATTGTGTCTAGGAAAGACCTCAACAGTACAATAATGGTTTGGGCTTCCACTATGCACATGCCTAAATGTCTTAAAACTTAACAAGCATCATCTAAAAATCTTATATTGTCTTGTTTATTTGTTACATATTAATTATAAATCTTACTATATACTTGTATTTAATATTTGATAATCCGTAATAAGAATTGAAATTGTAACTTGAGATCAACTAGTTGGAGTATTAGCTTGTCTAAAAATCTTATATTGTGATAGATACTCAAATTTTAACTTATTTTCTTTGCATTATTGCTTTTGTAATCGGCTTTTTCACCAAAACATACTGATATTTTAAAAGACGTAGAGATTGTTGATGTACTAAGACTTAAGTTACCCGAGTTCACCTGTAATACATACGATATAATCTGAGTAATTCAAATTGGATAAATTTAAAATAATAGTGACATAGTGTATGTAGAGAGATAATTTAAAACCTTTTGCTCAAATTTATGATCTGATTTATATTTATTTATTTCTATAATGAAATATATGAAAATTGTTCCTCACTTCTTATTGCTTGGTTGCACACTTGCACTATAGTATTACTCCATAGTATATATTATAGCTACAAAAGAAATTTGGTAGCACTAAATAAATTGCAACCGCAAAAAAATTAAAAATTAAAAGAAACAACATCCAAACGACTAGACACTTTCTTACCAATTACTTAATTAATTATAGAGAAGTTGCTATTACTATATTGCGGATTCTAATGCATCCGTAGCTCGATCTTAACTGAAAGGTCGAAGATGCTACACTTTTCAAACATGACATTAAACTATCGAAAGAAATAGGAAAAGTATTAGTAAATTATTGACAATGCTTTGCACTTTCCACCAAAACAAATAAAAAGCAAACTAAAATAGGAATTGATTAAACAAATAGTAAAAAATAAAATAAATACTTCGTATATATAATACATATAAAAATAATATGGATCGCGGCGGATCGTCATGGGTCGAATCTAATACTCCGTAGATGCTTGTGTCAAAAATATATAGATTCAGTCCTTATAAAGTATCAATGGACCACTTGCAACTATTCTACGTATTGATCTGAAGTCATATACTCGTACAACATATTTCTTTTTTTTTTTAAATTGCAATACTTCTCTTTTTATGCTTGTCGATGCATAATTTTATTCGTTAATATCTTTAATTATCAATATGTAAAAAATATAATATTAAAATAGTATAAATCGAGACGAACCTAACAAGATTTTACGTAACTATATTTTTTATTTACTTAAGTATAAATCATCAAAACTAATCAAAGTAAAACACATAAATAGTGTAACAGTCAAACTGCTGCAACTTTATAAAAATCGGAGAAAGTTATCAATAACGACAACATAAGAATATAAGACTCAAATGCCAACAGTTCTTATAAAATGAATTGAGGTCAATATTGCTATAGAGATGGCAACAAGTTTAATTTGTTTTAGTACGGAGTACTAGTTTGTAATTCTTCTTCTAGTACTAGTTTGTAATCTTTTTTTAACCTTTGTCGGAAAAAAAAAAGTCAAATTGATTTGTTTTTATTACAGTCTACACATATTATGTACACTAAAAAAAAGGATGGAAGAATTTTATAAACAAACTATATTAAAAAAAAAAAAAAAAGAAGCA